TAAATAAGTTATTTTATGTCGTTTCTTATTCTATCACTTCTGTTAATTCTAATAAAATATCTTCCATTTCTATTTATTAAACCCAAACATATCAAATTAAGATTTAATTTAAATAAAATTTAATTTAAACGACTTGAGTACTAATTCGTGTACAAAATTGAAGATACCAGAATCAAACAGGTACAACAATTTAAATATCTCGTTAGTATTTTAACAGAGAGCGGAAAACACGACACTCAGATTTGAAGGTCATTTGAATGCGAAACAAAGTATTAAAAAAGAGAAAAAAATCGTTAGAAACAAAGAAAAGGAGTACTGAACATTTATGTAATACAAGTCCTCCCATATGGCATTGAATACAGGACAATCTGCTCACAGATGAAGAAGAAACTTGAAGCAACAGAAATATGATTCTCCAGAAGAATGTAAAGGATGCCATGAACTGAACATGTGAGAAACGACGAAGGTTTAGAGATGGAAATAAAAAGCACATTTATACTTAACATCATAAAGAGAGGATTGAAACTCCCAGGTCATATAATGAGGAAAGATGGCTTTGGCAGTCACATAACATAATGAGAGCAAAAGAAAAAAAAAAGCTGATCTATCTAACGTGCCTGTGTAAAACGTTAGCAAACAGGCTTTAGGAGAGATAGCAAAAAGTATAAAATGAATAAGAGTTACAAAGAAAAGGAAATTGTGCAGAGCCATGATCACCAACGTCCTGAAGGGACACGGCACATAGAAGAAGATGAGTAAGGGTCAAAATTCTAAATTGCTTATTAAAAAAAAAGTACAATTGCGTTACTTGAATCTTTCAGACGGGAAGGATCTGCCTGCTTAGAACATTACTGTCTTTTATCAGAACAGGAGCATCAACCGCTGAGACTGACAGGAAATGCGTAATTATTTTAGTCATGAAGTTGATCACAATTTAGTGTAGTTGTTCTCAATGTCAGCGTGTTGAATCCATATTTAGTTTCTGCCTATAATTAAGTTTGTTGAAGTTATCGCTAAAAACATTTTGTCGTGATTTACAATCTCTTTCGCAAACCAGTCGATGAAATTTAAATAAGCTGATTTGTTTGGGAAAATACTTTGACAAAAACCCTATTTCGATAATTTCTTCAATTTAATTTCATAGGACTTCATAGTAAACAATATTTCTTTCCTATTTTCCTTTTTAACACTGAAGAATTAATTCCTAGAATTTCTTACACTTGAGCATGCAACATACTGCTGGCCATGCGTAAATAATTTTTCTGGAACCAAATTTCAACATTTTGAAGCGTTTGTACTTGTTTGTTTATAGTTCTCGGAAATGCAAGGTGAACTGGAAACATATGAAAATATACTGTACTATGATACGCATCTTAGTAAAACCAATTGTGCTTTGTATCCCCTTACCTGTTTGTATTTGTTCCCAAAATTTAGTTTCGGTCGGTTTTTTTAAAAGGTGTGATGAATGGACGGACGGACGGGCGGTAAGTCACAGAATTTTATATGTAAATAGATACAATTCCTAAACTTACCTATCTGTAAAAAATAAAGTAAGCTTTTTTTTTTTCATTGAATGGTCATAGGGGTTCATTAAAAGAATTAAGAGTAAAAGTGGTTCATGGGTTGAAAAAAGAACCACTTGAGTTCGATCCTTAATCGATGCACTAAATTTTAGAGTATTTATGAAGGATCGAACTCCCTACAGTCTCAATGGTCTGCAAAACAAACTAACTGTTGCTCCACGGCGTGATACACATTTTTGTGTAGGTGTTATAAGCAAACAACTGCCAGTATGAGAAATTAAATAGTAGACAATTGTATTTGAACTGAGGACTCGTAATGATATCCTCGAGTTAGAGAAGAAAGTTCTGACGTCAGTCAAAAACCTTTAACTCAATATGGTTCAGGTGATACTTAAGCTATAAATAATTATGACAGCTGATGAAACAACTTACTTTAATTCGTCTGTAGTGCAAATAAGTATGGCACAAGGCGAAAAAGCAAGGAAGAAAATGTCTCATAGGCACTATTCCATACTATAGGATTACTGTATTTCCCGTATGCTAAAACGCATTTGTTTCCCTGAAAAATGCCATAAAAATTACCATGCGTCAAGGCACTGAAAGGTCAAGGCCTAGAAGGGAGTATATCAACCCTCACAAATTCCACTCACGACCTCCAGACATATAACATAATCCCAGATTATGCTTACGCCATACCACATGACATGATGTGCACACCAAGAAACCATTCACGGAGATCCAGACTCCGGTACAAGACCGCGACAAATGGTGAGGAAGCTCAGCCCGTCGGTGCGAATCATTACATGGTGGTGGTGGTGGTGGTGGTGGTGGTGGTGGTGGTGAAGAAGAAGAAGAAGAAGAAGAAGAAGAAGAATAGTATTATTATTATTAGTAGTAGGTGCGCTTGGAATGATAAAAAAAGGAACACAACAATACTTTTAAAAAAATCCCTGGAAATCCAAGCTTAAGAGAAATACAAAAAATTGTCTTGATAAGTATAGACCATACACTAAAAAGAACGCTGTCCATGTAACGCTAGAGATGTTATGAGAGTTAGAAAAACAAATCATCAAATGTAGCCATAACATAACACTACTTGTTTAGGTCTACCTGAAGACTAGATAATTAGTGTGACCATAGTAGATATCGAAATATAACAGCAACAACAATAATAATAATAATAATAATTATTATTATTATTATTATTATTATTATTATTATTATTATTATTATCGCATACCCTGTTAGAATCATACGATACATATTGTCTTAAATATGTCCAGATACCTTGTAGTAGCAAGTACGAGTTGTTTCTGGTGTGAATATATATATATAACACTGTGCTGAACTATTGAAAATCTAATTAATAATAACCATAGATATTTAATAATAGGTTCAAAATGTTTTAATTTGTTGGGACACAAAGAAAAATGACATTGTAGAATTGGCGACTTGGACTTGCTAGTATGAAAAGCTATAAAAGCCTCAGATATATTTTTCATAAAAAATACCTAGGTAATTATAGATTGCGTCTTACCAATTGTAACGTCATAGAATACGGGAAATGCGCTATTTAAACCTATAAGACTTCATCATCATCATCACCATCATCATTATCATCATGATGTCCTGTGAACGAGTGTGGTGCCTGATCAACTCCCTCCATATATCACAGTTGCGTGCCAATATCTTAGTCTCGATAAAGGATCTTCCAGTTTACTTAATGATGTTGTTGACCCATTTTCCCCTTTATCTGTAACTTCTTTTTGTCTCAGGTGGTACGGTACCCTGTAGAGTAGTAGGGGGGTGGGGGAGTTTATTGATTCTTATGAAGTGCTATACCATCTCAAATTTCTCTTTTTGACTGTGGACATTAGGTCTTCCAACAGGTCTTGACTGATGGTTTCTGTGATATTTATGACACGGTCTACATAAAAAAAAAAAAAAAAAAAAACCACTTAAAAAAGCTACCCTCCAGAAATAAACTAATCGACTGTTCTTTTTCTTTTTTTGGCGAAAGTCAATCTTCACACACACACAAATATATATTGTGTATTTAGGCAGCAATCCTTCATTTATACATGTTTCGTTAAAGACGACAGACAAGGTATTGCGATTAAGTTTTTATTTAATTTTTCTTGTGTTCTAACAAGTGTTTTCTTTTCTGGACACACAAGTGTTTTCTTTTCTAAGCGATCACCTAACCTAGGTACTGGCAAGTCTCGACATTGCTTAAATTCGGTGATCGAGAACCGGTGTTTCAACGTAATATGGCCGTAAGCCTTGTTACAATTGGTAAACCCCTTTCAGTTACAGGATTCATATTTTGGAATTCAGTTCAGTTATGTGATACACGTTTAAGAGATCAAGTATTTTTCGATACATGACTGACGAGGCAGATTTTTCCCGCAGTAGGTTACCATTTCTTTCTGCGGTCTATACTGCTATTTACCCATAGCTGGGGGGAAGAAGAAGAGGATTCATACTTTTCCCAATGGTATTAGCACGTAAATGAATGTAATGGATTCCACTGGAATTTGAACTCGGCTTTCCGGGCCCTCAATCCGAGCCGCTATCCATTACTCCACCGTGCCTTTTGGAATTATAATTTCGAAAATCATGTATCTATAGGCTATTTTATTTTTATTTTTTTAGACTGAATAACGCTTTTCTTTTCTCTTGTTGAAAAGAAATCATTTTTCTGTTATTTACGTGTTCCGAAATAACTTCGTTTATCTTTTAAACTTCGGATTTGAAATCCTTATTTACTCACCTCTGTAAACGTCGTACATTTGCCAGCGTTCACATGGAGACATTCGCATTGATTGAGAGTCGAAAGTTAGCTCAACGCAGCAAATAATCCGAAATGGGAAACTCTTGCTTGAATCGGTAAATAGTAGCGACAACTCGGTCAACATTGCACTCCATAATGAGTTTCTTATGTAAACTAAGCCAGTTTGCAACGTTATCGTTACTTAGTGTACATGATAGATTTGCCAAGGGTGCACATTAAATGACTTACGTAATTTACTTCAGTAAATTATGCAAAAAATAAAACAGAATAAATAAATAAATAAAAATAAAATAAAATAAATAAATAAATAATAATAATTTTCGGTTGCCATAGAAACGCAATTAGTTTCTTATAATAATTTGATTATTTACATAGACGGCTTTTTTTTTTCATTTTTTTTTCTAACTTTTTATTTTCTCAAACAGCGGCGAAAAAAAAAAAGCAGCAGTACAACAGCAACAGACACTATGTCACTACTTTTCGAAATTAAGGAATTATATTCCACCGTCTTGTTCCAGGAGATTTGTTCTCACGAACTGTACCTCCCCATTGCGCAAACAAGGATGGGGTAATAATTTTTTTTAAATTAGGTGATGAAATAAGGGAAGTGATGAAAAATCAAAGAAAACTAGAGAAGTGATCAGTCTCCAAAAAAAGATGCAAGTGTTTGATGCTTACGGCTGCATCACGTTGAAACACCGGTTTTCATCCGATCAAAGTTAAGCAAAGTTGAACCTGGTTAGTACCTAAATGGGTTCCCACCTGGGAATACCAGGTGCTGTAAGCTTGGATGTGCGGCTGGTGTAGTGCGGGATGAGAAATCGGAGAGCCGATTTCGAATTCCATTCGGGTTCTTTACATTCACTTACATGCAAATACTCTTGAGAAAGATATGAATCCACCTCTTCTCCTCCCAGCTATGGGTTAAACAATAAGACTTGTATCAGAAAATCATTACTATCTCCCCCAAATTCTTATAATCCTAAAATATGTTTCGGCTTTAAATAACCATAAAAAACGTTTATAAGGCGTAAAAACAAATCAATTAATCAATAATAAATCAAGTGTTTAATCAGTTGAAACCATGTCAGCAGCCGAGGTAGCATGAAAATGGGGCGATCAGTCCGGTATCCGTGCGATAAAAGAAAGGAAACTCAAATAAGTGTTAATGTTTCGTTTAATTTTTTCGTCAAAAATAGTGTCTTGGCTTCATGATAAAGTGTTTGTAACACTCGGCAAAGAGCCAGGCTAGAGAACGTAGTACAAATGTTCCTGTTGACAGAAATATTCTACATGAAAATGGGCTTAACTTCTAAGAACATTACAGTTTAAAGCTAGCAAAAGATGGCTTTATTTTATTTTATTTTTTTAACAATAATGTTCTATCTGTACAAGACCAAGGAGCCACTCGATGTAGTTGGTTACAGAGGTAAGAGGTACAGTTCATGAGGATATGTAGAGAAAAGAACGGTTAACCCTAGACTTGAAGAGGTTAAGATCGTAGTGATCGGGGAAGAATTCACAAAGTCGCAATTCGTGGGAAGAAGCTGTTCGAGTGGAACTTACAGCTCACCAATGGAATCCGAACGGAATGAGGATGGTTGGCTACAATGTACATAGCATGGTGGGTCTTAGTTATAAAGGTTAAAACTGGTGGGGTTAAGGATTGTAGGTTTTTAGAACGCTTCCCATGGAAATATCGATAGACTAGCGAGAGGCTTGCAATGTTTAATGCCTTTATGGTTTCATAAAGTGATAGAACCAAAAGAATATCATGGAAGAATAATGTCGGCTTATACGGAAGCAACATCGGAATTCTTAGAAAACCCCCAGAGAAGAAAGTAATCGAAGAATAAAAATAACTGTGAAGAACAATTCTTCAGTTATGATAAAACAGACCTTGGGGGAAAATGTTGAATTGTACCTACATTCATGAGTGCCACTCGCCACCTCCCCTGAATCGCGCCAACATTTTCCCGGTCCAATTTCTGGTGTCTTTAATCCAGTGTCTTTTTGGCATTTCTCTCGGTTTCCTGCCATCGGTGCAATCCTCTCGGAAGCGGATGCAAAGGTCCTCGGCTCTGATATGGCCAAAAGATTGCACATTTCGCTTCTTTATGCCAATTGACTCTCTTTTCCCATCTCCTCCAGGACCGATTCGATTTCATACCGATTAAAAAAAAAAAAAGAACTCTCACATTTCTCTGATACGCCACGCGTATTTTATAAGTTTAAAAATTCCCACTGACATGACTACTCCAGATAGCAATTGTATTTGATAAACAGAAAAGAAAAAGTAATCCTAACACTTTTAATTCGATGAATTGTTTCAGTTAATAAAGAGTCGAGTTTTTATTTCTTCACTGAGATATCGTAAGCTTTTTAAAGAAAAGAAATTACTCCAATTTAATTTAAAACAAAACACGGCATTCGCTAAAGAGGAATTGAAAAGAATAGATGACAGCGAGAGTAGAAGACGCTTGAAAATGAAAAGAATAAACTCAGGGTTGACAGTTTAATGAGAGGTTTTGTGTTGCAAAGTTGAAGGAATTATTGTATTTTCGACATTTACATGTTCGTCAAGTGAGTGTAATTATGATTGTTTTTTTTTTTGTTGTTTTTTGTTTTTTGCATTTATGAAATAACATAGAAACACATGGAAAAGAAACAAATAAAAAAAGTAAGTATAAACTGAAATGCCAAAAATATGGGACAGCTACCTAAAAAAAAAGTCCCCAGAAACAGCAATGTGACATGACATTGTGTCTGCAAGAGGCTGGTGTCATTGCGTGGGTATATGTATTTAGGCACATACTTGAGCTAAATTATCGTCAACGAAAGAGACAGCCTGCAGTGTAAGTTACATATTGGTGATATGAAAACCGGGCAGAAACAGAAGTTTAACTTTCTGGGTAGTGCAGTACAGAGGACGGAGGAAAAAAACTGAGGCAGAAATCGAAAGGGCGGACCGGAATAACGGAAGATGTTTTTCAGAAACTAAGCAAAGTATTGATACACGAAAATTTCGCTGGAAGCAAAGGAAGAGGATGATGAACTGCTATACAATACCTTATTTTTAGCAATAGCAGTGAAGACAGATGAGGAGGTGGCATGAGACGGCAGAGAATACAGTTGATTGAATATACGAGCAACAAGGAAGTTATTTGGAAAATAGGTACAAGAAAGAAACTTATTCTTGTAATCAGAAAAATATGGCTGAAATTTCTGGGATGTTTATTTTCGTCTTACTGAGTCACGGTACGTGTGTGAAACATCGTTTTCAGGTTATAGCTTCATGGTGTCAACTTGCACATCTTTTTTGTGCCTTATTCCTGCAGGGCGTTGGTGATCATGTTTCTCCACAACTTCCTGTCACTTGTTGCTCTAAGTGTTATGTGATACTCTACCATCCGTTTTTGTCCTTGTTCTGTCACACATTTACGTAATATAAGGGCATATAACGAGGAAGGAGGGCTTGGAAAATCTGATACTCACGGGACAGATTGAAGGCAAGGGAGACAGAGGAAAATAACCCATAGCATATTGAGCTTGAGTAAATGGATGGTGGAACAGGATTTAGGAGAAATAACAAGAAGGCAGTTTATTAAGAGTTACAAGGAACAGGAAGTTGTGGAGAGCAATGATCGCCTACGTCCTGACACATACATAATTAGGAAATAGGACTTGGTGAATTTAACACGCACAAGACATACTGGGGGTAAAAGAGGCAGCTGGAAACGGAAATTAGCCTTCTTCTTTATGTATGGTACCATTTACTCAAGCTCGCTATGTTATGAGTTATTTTTCCTCAGCCTCCTTTCCTACTTTTTACTCTTACATTTCATATCACACATCTTGAATGAGTCCTGGGTATGACGTTAAACTACATCTGGCGGCAAGTCCTCTGATCAGGAGGGTTTGAGGAGCGTGGAACCACCTCTTAATTGCTGGTGTTCCCAGGTCTACCCTGGGTATGACGGTATACTGCATCCGCGTCCATGGGTATAACGGTAAACTGCACTCTCATCCATAGGTATGACGGTATACTGCATCCGGATCCATGGGTATGATGATAAACTGCATCCGCGTCCATGGGTATGACGGTAAACTTCATCCGCGTCCTGGATACGGCGATAAACTACATCCACATACTGGGTATGGCGGTAAACTACGTCCAACGGAAAGGCCGTTTTTGAAAAAATAAGGTTGTCGGCTATACGTTTTAGGGAAAATAGTATTACCAGCCATACGTTTTCGATGGAATAATATTGCCAACAGTGTGTTTTTGATAAACGGTATTACCAGCCATACATTTTTGAAAAATAATATTGCCAGCTATACGCTTTAAAATATATATATATATATATATATATATATAAACGAAAAATATTACCCGTTATACGTTTTTTTTAACAAAACCTTATAATATAGAACTGTAACTAGGTCAAAACGCTGTGAAAGTGTAAAAATGGGTTTTAATATCAGAAACTCTTTGTAAAAAATTATTACCATCATTACCATTTTTGAAAAGCAAATGTTGCCAGCAATGCGTTTTTGAAAAGAAAAACCTAAACAAACCTTAAAACACAAAGTAATCCAATGAACCAAATAGGAAAACAATGATCACAAATACACATAAGATACTTCAATAGAACTGTAGAGGAATAAATAAAAAATTATTACCAGAAATCAATTTTTTAAGGAAAAGATATTACCAGCAATACGTTTATTGAAAAGATATTACCAGCAATACGTTTATTGAAAAGATATTACCAGCAATACGTTTATTGAAAAGATATTACCAGCAATACGTTTTTGAAAAAATACTATTACCAGCTATATATTTCCGAGGAAAGAGATATTGATAGAAATGGATTTCTAACAAAACAAAAATATTATCGGAAAAGAAGTCGTCGGCATAAAATGACCCATTGAGGTTGATGTGCCGTAAAACAAAACAAAAAAAAACACATCTCATCCAGTAATCCTATAGGTTAAGTGACTTTTGAGTTTGGTATTAGTTGAATTAGATTGATTGGTTGATTTATTTTTTAGGGCCTATCAATCTTTTACAGGTTACTTAAAAAGAGGAAATATTTTTAGATTGTCAGATTTTGGAGAGATAATAATGATACTGAGAGAAATTCTACTGATTAACCCTTAAGTGGGAAGAGAAAAGGTAGACCCATACCTTTCCCAACAGTATGTGTATAAATTACTATAAGTAATTTGTACACACTATTTATCATCTCTCAGTTGCGTCTCTGTCCTTGGACAGAGTGCGCTCAGTAGTTTCTCTGTGAAAGGACGGAGGGGCAACTGAGAAAATAATGTTGAGAGGTGCCCAGCCCTGGGGAACAGATGCCTGAGGCCGGGCCCTCCCATTGCACCAGAGGGAGGATCGGTATATATATATATATATATATATATATATATATATATATATATATATATATATATATATATATATACACACACACATCTATCTATCTATCTATCTATATATCTATCTATATATATATATATATATATATATATATATATATATATATATATATATATATATATATATATATATATATATATATATATATACAAACACATATCTATCTATCTATCTATCTATCTATATATATATATATATATATATATATATATATAAAATTCATACAAAAGAGTTTAATGATATAAATTGCAAACAAAATTTTTAAAAAGTTGCATTAACGTACGAAACACTCGATGAATGTTATGATCCTTAAAATAATTTCCATGCCTGAGGATGGCTGAATGTATAGTTGAAAGTACTTGCAGATTAGAAAAATGACCTTATACAGCTTGTAGTTATTAAAAACAAGGATCATATCATTCATCGAGTGATTTGTAGGTTAATGCAACTTTAAAATTTTGTTTGCGAAGAGTTTTCGCCTTTTTTATATCATTAACTTTACTAATCTACTTTTTTATGAATGATTCATTATAATATAAATTGAACTGCACAACATATTTGATATATATATATATATATATATATATATATATATATATATATATATATTTATTTATTCGAAAATTATAACATAAATATATTATAAAATCACTAAAAAAAATAACCATTTTATTTCAACACTTCTGGTGTCTTATCAAGTGAATGTAGAATAAATGGTTTTAAAAGGTTCAAATCAATCAAACACCCCTCGCTAAGGGGAAACGCTGTTACATGAGCTGAAATGATCAATCAAAATACCAATATATGAGAATTCAAAAAAAACTTGACAACGAACCTTGATTATAGTAATTAATTAATGCTTTAATGTTACGGTGAGACTAAAATAGAATTCATTCTAAAAAGTATTGAAAGAAAATGGCTATTTTTGTAGTGATTTTATAACATATTTATGTTATAATTTTCGAATAAATAATTATATTTGCTCTACTCTGTATACTCTGTATTGAGCACTCTTTTAAGAATAGTATTTTTTGGTTATTGGAATTTATTCCGTATACACCAATCCTATACTTATATATATATATATATATATATATAGTGGTATCTACAAATTTAATTCACTCCTGAAGTTCCTTCGTAACCCGGAGTGTTCGTAAACCGAAGCTATTTTTCTAACAGGAATCATTGTAAAAATGGATTAATCTGTTCCTGGTCCCAAGATGATTAAACAACAGCAGTTTGTGTATAAGACTAATGAAAATCATTAAATCTAAGACAAAATAAATAAACCCAATACTAAATATATAAAATATAGACGAACACTAATTTTTCGGTACCTGTAAGTAGAAAAGTTGATGGCGTAGGATGAAGGTGGTGTGGAAAGAGGGAAAGACATGATTCTCTCTTTATTTATAAGAATAGTATAGATCATTGATTTTGTCATATGGAATTGAGTAAGAAGAGACAATGTTATTAACACTTGTTTTTCTCTTAACTTTTCTTTTTCCTTTACCAGTATCATTGCTAGCTTCCATTGGAGCCATGACTGAGGACTAATGAAGAGAAAAATAAAAGGCACAGTACAATAAAACTGGAAAAGAAAAGCGCACGAGTGTATACAACATGGCGGTCGACTCAGAAATGATTCCGTTTGGGTTAACTCGGTTCAGCTGGGTTCGGCAATATTGTTCGAGAACCCAAAGTTTGTTCGATAACCATGGCATTTTCATATCAAATTTTCTGTTCGAAAACCGCTTTGTTCGACATGTGAGACATTCGAGAACTGAGGTTTCTCTGTATTTATTTATATATATATATATATATATATATGTGTGTGTGTGTGTGTGTGTGTGTGTGAATGAACTGAGATCAAATATAGATTGAATCCGACAAAATGATAGGATAAGAAACAAATAGAAAACGAAAAACGTTTCGCTTTTATTAAAATTATTTTTTCTTCTTTATATTTCATTATCTGATGAAGCTTTAAGTTCATTTAGCTATATATATATATATATATATATATATATATATATATATATATATATATATATATATATATATGCTCCTGAAAAATGTATTTCGGTTGAGCTCTCTGGGGAAGAAGTGTGAGTTCGTAAACAGTGACTATTACGGCTAATAATGAAAGACTCTTCGGTAAATTGAATTCAGTTCTCTCAGTCACTGTATGTTTAACCAAAAATAAATACGCTTAAATCCACCTTCATACCTGCTGTGCGCCAACGGCTTAGAGGTAGAATCTCCGACTGACGCCAATTAAGTCGAGTTTCGTTCCTAGCTAGAGGCAACCGGACGTCTAGCCACACCGACGAGCTGCGAAACAGTCGGTCTGTGGATGACTATATATATATATATATATATATACAGTGCTGCGTAAGTAATTGAATAATATTTTTAAAAATTGTCTCTTTTTTCTAGATAATCAACAGATGTTAAATAGACTTATATGTTCATTAAGAAAAACCGTTTTTTTTTATCAAGTTGGAATAAAAGTATTAATTAAAAATTAAGACGTGTAAAATAAGTAGATCCTTGCATTTGCACTCTGTAGTGTTGTTTTGCATGATTGCCAGTGTAAATAATTTTTTTATGCACGCGTGAAAATCAAAATGCTACGTGTTCATTTTTTTGTAAGCTGTGTATACTGCAGTCAACCAATACAAACCAGTGTGTATGCAAAGAGGTGCAGTTAGAGACTCGATTTAAAAAAAAATAATTGAAGCCTATAATGATGGAGAAGACTACAAAAATGTTTTTAAATCGAAGGCGTTTGGTATAACGACATCGCAACCAATAAGTGGCCGTTTTTATTGAATAAATTTACTCTTTAGTTTTTATTTTTGTGTAATTTTGGTAAATATATCTGTTAAAATGAGATGTCAGTGTTATTGTCATTTCTGCGTAATTTGGACGACAATTTATCTCTCTCTCTCTCTCTCTCTCTATATATATATATATATATATATATATATATATATATATATATATATATTTAAATAAAAAGAAAGAACAGTAAGATATATAATCCGGTGTTCTTATGAATATTTTTATTTTTACAAAATAGTGCTCAATGTAAATTTACAGAGCATTAATATTATAATTAATTGATTTAAAATATATTTTTTTTTCGTTCTAACCATGTTTCAACCATTTTTGAAACATGGTTAGAACTGTGTAGCGGAAAAAACATATTTTAAATCAATTAATTATATATATATATATATATATATATATATATATATATATATATATATTCATATATATATCTTTCCAAAGGCACGTAAGTGAGTGTGATGAATTCGAACTCGGTTCTCCAATTCCTCAATGCGAACCGTAATTCATTATACCACCGTGCCTCCGTTTCTTCTACCTCCAGCTATGGGTAAAATAGCAGGACAGACTGGGTTCAATAGTCTTGGGTGGAAACCGGTCTAGGAGAAAGACATCTATGGATTCAAACCCGCCTGGAAAATCCAGAGTGATGGACCTGAATACAATTAAATCAGTACTCTCGGATATTATTATCTAGAATCCACATGCAGCCTGCTTTCTCTCCCCAGACGTCACACACTTGTGTGCCCTGAAATTGTAGAAGTAGGAAGAGAGTGTTGCAACCACATCACCCTGCGCAAAGAGTGCTAGGTTGCATCATCATCGATTCTCCTTTAAAAAATAAATGTTATTTTTAGTGAACCCTCATAGTTGTGTAGACGTCCCGTTTATTTATTAAACAGTATATTTACTTATTTATTTTCGTCTATTGGACTGAATGTTCAAGAAATCTCATTAAAGAAAAGCATATGTTCTCTGGCAAGATTCGAACCTGCGTCCCAGATGACCTGCCGTTACTGTTTAATAAATAAACAGAGTGTTTATTCATATATGAGTATCCACTAAAAATAACGTTTAAACTGAAAAAATCTGTCGAATTAATAAATAAAATATCCATATATATATATATATATATATATATATATATATATATATATATATATATATATATATATATATATATATATATATGGGGGGTATAAAAATACTTTTACAAACTTTGGGAGTAGGTTCCTGGCACCAAAACAAGGTAAAATATCCATATAAAATATATGTCCAAAAGGCCACCGTTCTATTCCAACACAGCAGCTCATAACAAATGTTGGAAATGTCCCCTGCTTGCTTCTACACACGCATACATCCGTCGGATCATTGACTAGCGGACCCTTTCAAATTTTCCCACACGGTGTCGAATGGTTTCGCAGGCCCCCATGACACGTTGATGAAACGTCTCTGCATAAAGCAATTGTTTAAGGTGGCCTCACAGATAAAAATCCAAAAGACTGAGGTCGGGGGAACGTGTAAGGCATGAAACCGGTCCTCCCCTAACTATCCATCTTTCATGTTAGATGTCGACGAGTGCATCGCTATCAATGTGACTTAAATGTGCTGCAGACGGAAAATACTTAAGACTGCCGCTATCGAATCTTAGAAAATATAAATTCGCGCCCCGAGAGAGAGAGAGAGAGAGAGAGAGGAGAGGAGAGAGGGAGAGAGAGAGGGAGAGAGGATAAAAAAAAACAATAATATTTATTTTTCCGTTAATTTGTCCATTCGATATATGGGGAGAGACACAGTGAGAGAGAGAGAGAGAGAGAGAGCAAGATAGATAAATGAAGAAAAAATGAGAAAAAGAGAGGCAGAAGAAGAAAAACAAGAAGAAGAAAAATGCCTCTGACTCCATAATTGCACAAACACGTCAATATCTCAAATTTAAGTATGGACCTATATAATCGCTATTTTCTCAGTTTTTTTTTTCTGCACATAATTTATAATAAAATGAGATAGAGAGAGAGGCAGAGAGATAGAAAGCGAGGGTGTGCGGTAAATACTCACAGATAAATAAAAGCGAGAGAGAGAGGGGGATGAGATAATGAGCATTCTCGGTGACTGTGATAACTAATGACAGGCATGAAAATATGAAGCGGTAGAAATCGGTTGATGAAGATGCCAATAAAGGAAGATTAAGTGGTTGGGATAAAAAGGAGATTTGAACAGGCTTAGATAGATAGATAGATAGATAGATAGATAGATAGATAGATAAGAACAGACTGAAATAGACAAATATGAACAAACTGAGATAGATAGATAGATAGATAGATAGATAGATAGATAGATCTGACTAAAAAAGATTGGTAGCGTAAGAGATAGGAACTTCGTGCAAAATATCAGTGTTAGTTATTCTAAAGTATCAATGACTTTTTTCCATTTGACCCATTATTTCATTAGACTACTATTACTGTTGCTGCTGCTACTAATAATTTGTTTGAAAATCATTTCTCCCAAGCAAGGCGATAAAGCCGCTAAGACGCAAGGGTTACTGGGAGTGAAAGAATCTGAGAAAAATCATTTAAGGAAGGAGGGCAATAAAAGAACAGAGTTCGAAGAGACAGAAGAGAGTGACTTGACATTGAAATGAAATGTTTGAAGATCAAGGTTGACTTGAAAACAAGAAGCCCGTGGAGAGTTCCACAAACTAGAAGTAAGAGAGAAGGAACGATTAGCATAAAACTTACGGTTACATCTAGCCATTTCAACTATAAAATTGTTATAGTGGAACACACCTATTCTATAGTTGATAGACTCTCCCACCTATAATAAGTAGGAGTAGGGTCGGTCACTCGGTCGGTCAGTGAGTCAGTCGATGCCGGACGACTGTTAGTCGGATACTAAAGTATCAGCGACCACAACTAGATTTCCTGCGTCATTACCTATTATATCAAGTTCCTAACGTTATGTACGTCGAACCTATTTTAGGACCGACTTAGTACAAATAGAAGCCTCCACTGTGAAACCACTCCACAACAAAAATGAAGAGACCGAGCTGCCAATCTAGCACTGCACTTAAATTCATAATGTCTAGGTACCATAGAGGGAAGCTCATCAGAGCAAATATCATGAAAGTATTTATAGAAAAGACACAGGGACGCTGCATTACGGAGGTGGGAAAGTGACTACAGAATACTACTACTACTAATAATAATAATAATAATAAGAAGAAGAAGAAGAAGAAGAAGAAGAAGAAAAGGAAAAATCGGAATCTCTCATACTTAATCGTTAAACGACTGGAAAATGTTGGACTGACGTGGGCGCCAAATGGGTAAAAACATGAGAAAATTCATTTTTTTCAAAAAGTAATTTTTGCGTTCACTTTCGCTTTAATTCCATACAGAAACTATAAAAATGTTATTTTAAAGTTTTTTTTTTGCATTATAAAAATAAAGAAAAAAAAAGAGAGAAATCAGAGATGTTTGGTTCCTCAATTTAATTTAATTTTTTTATCAGGACGATTCTCCATGAAGCATTCTGCATACAATGGATTTGTGTATTCTTTGCACCAAGTTGTCACCATTTTTATTTTTATTTTTATTTTTTTTCTCATCTTGAACATTGGCGATTAGGTAAAGACTGAATAGTGCCTTTAAGCGAAATTCTTCTCGTCATAGACTCTCGAAATGTTCATATCTGCCGGAGAACGCATAGAAATATGTCTGGAAACATAGCTCTGTCTTTGACTGGTTCTTTCAGGAGTATTTGCAGGTTAAATACTCCTGGAATTGACGTAACCTCATGAATCCTTTAATATAATCGATCCTGATGTCGACTTCAGTTACTTTCTCACCGACATGACCTGACTTCCCTCGGCCTTTTCTACAAATATTTTCATGGCAACTGTTCTGATGAGCATTTTTCCTTACTGCCTTGACTACATGAATTCAAGCGTACTGCTAGATTGGCAACTAGGTCTCGCCGTTTTGCTGTTGAACTAGCTAGAAACAACCATAATTTCTAGTTTAACTTTTTCTTTTCTCGCACTTCCCGCCTGTGGAAATCCCTTCCGATTTCTTGTTGGCCTGCCATCTACAATTTTCAGAAATCCTGTTCCTGAACTCTGTTTCTTTATTGTCCTTTTCTTATTAAAGTCTTCTCAGTTTCTTTCATTCCCTGTAACGCTCTGTGTCCTAGTGTCGCTATCGCCTGCTTGGAGTGAAATGATTAAAAACATAACCAATTAGTAATTTAAACTCAGATCATAAATGAATGATGGTTGTATCTTATAAATCATCAGTTGATGATATCAGTTGATCTACAATTAAATATCAATTGATGTTCTTTGTTTAAGGATTAAAGCCAGGAACAAATGCATTATGACCAAACCAGAGTGAAAAAAAAAGCAAATTCCGTCTTTGATGAGACTGTCAGCTACATAATCATTGAAAGCAATATGTTATGTCTAAACGAACACGCAAGAAAACAAGTGCCAAAACGAAAAAGGAATAAAAATACAGGAACGATAGAGTAGGAATAGCAAAACTCTGGGAACTGTGCAAGCAACCTGGGTTCGATCATTTAAATAAATAATATCAACACAAACCAAAGCCTTTCCTGACAAACGACCTTATTCAAACGAAGAGACCCGATCTAATAGCCTTAAAGATGAAAGCGTGTTGCCAGATCGAAGGCGTAATTGTGCTCACGGATCGCAGAGTTCAAATAAGAAAGAAAGTAAAGAAACAAAAAAAATGGAAAAATAACACAGTATTTAAAGCTGCAGAAGGTTAGGGTTGTAGCCATAATATTTAGTGTAGCTGGAATTGTACCAAAAACATCAAGATCAAGAAGAACTGAATTAGAAATTCGTCGAAATTCGTCTGTGTTGCTAGTCTCTGCAAGGATACTGAGAAATGTGCTGGAATTCTAATGACAGTTTGTGCCACTTTGTCCTAAAAAAAAACAAAAAACAAAAAACAAAAAAAAAAAAAACATTACACAGGGTGGTCCGAAGGTCTTGTCACCTGTATATAATATAAGTTTCTATGTCAGATGCTATGACAAAAATTCCTACAGTTTGGGTTAGGGTGACACGAATTTCAGACCACTCGGTATATCTCATCTGAATCTGTAAATGCATGAATTACACCCAATACAACAGTAGCAGCAATAATAATAATAATAATAATAATAATAATAATAATAATGAAGATGATAATAATAATAATAATAATAGTAGTAGTAGTAGTAGTAGTAGTTAAGAAACGCACATTCGTTCCGAAAGCGGTGAAAAGGATTTTAACGTGGGGTCTCACACGTATGTGGGATCAGTGTCTCAAAATATTTTTTCGCGAAGTTAAAATATAATAGTTGTTGTTGTTGTTATTATTATTATTATTATTATTATTATTATTACATGATGTTCAGTTGTTTTATAAATTACTACGTGTTAGGAACACAAATGATGTCATAAGGTGTTTTTATTTATAACTTCTTTCTGCGTAGAGCAATCGACAGAAAGAAAAAAAGAAAGAAAGAGAGAGAGAGAAGAGAAATAAAGAGAGAAGAGTGTAGCAAAGAGAGAGAGAGAGAGAGAGAGAGAATGAAGAAAGGTTAAGACAGAGCAGGATAGATAAAGAGAAAGAGGAACAGAGATATAAAGAGAACATTTAACATTTAAAGAGAGAAATGACAGAGAGAGAAATAAGAGAGAGAGAGAGAGAGCGAAAGGAGAGAAGAGAAAAAGGGTAAAGAGAAAGGTAAGAGAGTGAGTGGAAGCGAAAAGGGTAAAAGATAAAAAGGAAGAGAGAAAAAAGAAAGAGAGTGAGATAGAGTAAGGGAGAGAGCAAAATTTTAATGAAGGTTGGCAGAAAGGGTTTTATGCGTCTCATTAAAAAAAAAAATTAGTCACGAAAATAATGGCGGTTCTTTATCATCAGAGAGTTGGAACGACCCAAAAAATTTACTTCAATTGGACCCAAATGCTACTTCGCGTGAGTCAATTAGAACGCTGGAAATATTGGCAGATGTCTATCCGGCATCTAACTTCACACACACACACACGCGCGCGCCTGCGTGTGTGTATGTGAGATACCATATACATATCTATATATCTGATTAATAGTAGGTAACTGAATGACAAAATGGCAAAAAATTACTATGTAACGCGTTTCGTTCAAAGGAGCAACTTCGACAGACTAATACTATTTTATATATATATATATTTTTTTTAAGCATTTCACCCCAAGCAAGGCGGGAAGCCACTAGGACGCAAGGGGTTACAGAAAATTTAAAGCAAGATCAGATAGGAGTGATAGAAGAAAGGATGAGGGTAGTGGATAGATCAAGGCAACTGGAGATGTCGATTGACATTACACTTGAATAGCTGGAGATTATACCTCACAGGGAAACAGGAGAAGGGAAGGGAGTTCTACAGGCGAGAGGTGCGAGACATTAAACTAATAGTAGAAGAGACGGCTACATTTAGGAGTTTCGACAGTGAGGGGGTGAGAGCGGGATGCCAGCCTCGTAGGGCGCTGGAACTCATGACGTCTGGGAACCAGTGAATGCAGCTCCTCGGAGCAATTTCCATGAAAGTATTTGTAGAATAGACAGAGGGAGGCGACGGCGCGTCTGTGAGAAAGTGACTGTAGACGAGACGCCAGGGCAGGGCCAAGCACATTGCATATCCGCCTCTGGGGCCTATCAAGAACCCCGAGGCAAACAGAAGGGGCAACAGACCATATATGGCAGCAATACTCTATGCAAGGGCGAATTGTGGATTTGTAGATCTGGAGGATCGACTCAGGGGAGAAAAACTTCCTAGCACGGCTCAGGGAGCCAACTTTCCACGCAGTGGACGAGGCAATTGACTCGATGTATTAATTCCATCTCAGGTCAGCAGTCAACGTGAGACCGAGAAGCCGCAGAGAGTTGCTCTCGAGAAGTTGAGCGTCAGACATTCTAATGGAGGGAAGGGAAGGATCTCTGTGGTGATTAACAGAGAGCAGTTTTGTCTTAGAAGCGTTGAAGTTGACCAGTCAATTCATGCCCCAGTTCACAATCGATTGGAGGTCCTTTTCGAGACGCACGGCCAGGTGAATTTTGTCAGCGACACTAGATTTGTTTTTGAGGCAGGAATAAATTGTGGTATCATCCGCGTAGATGCCAACTTGGGAAGTTATGGCGTCAGGAAGGTCATTTATGTAGATAAGGAATAGAGTGGGGCCTAGGATGGAGCCTTGAGGAACACCTGCGTTCGTGGGATAGGAACTGGAGGAGAATCCGTTGAGAACAACCTTCAATTCACGGTTTGACAGGAATGATTGTATTAGGTTATATAATCGACCCGTAATGCCATAACCCTGGAGCTTGCGAAGAAGGCCGGAATGCCAAACCCTATCAAATGCTTTGGAGATGTCTAGTGCCACGGCTCGGGTTTCCCCGTTATTTTGGAGAGCTCGATAGACTGTTTCAGTGATGGCTGTAAGCACGTCGGCTGTAGATCGGGCAAAGCGGAAACCATATTGCTTGTCTGAGAGCAGATTATGGGATGTGAGGTGGTTAACCACCCCGGTATTGATTAGAGCTTCGAAGACTTTGCTGAAGAGGGGAAGGAGATAGGACGGTAGTTGCAAAGGTCAGAGGGGTCGCATATATATATATATATATATATATATATATGTGTGTGTGTGTGTGTGTGTGTGTGTGTGTGTGTGTGTGTGTGTGTGTGTGTGAATTGGTTTGATTTGGTTTGGTTTATTTTGTTTTACGACATATCAAACTCAATGGGTTATTTAATGTCGACAAAATTTTTTATTGCTGGTAATATTTTGTTTTGTCAAAAATCTGTTTCTGGTAATATTTTTCTTTCAAAATTGTATTGCTGGTAATATTTTTTTTTCAAAAAAGTATTGCTGGTAATAGTTAACTATTTGCCCATAGCTGAGACCCTAACAGGTGCTACCACCCCGGGTCAGTGTGGACCTGGGAGCACCAGCAATTAAGAGGTGGTTCCACGCTCCTCAAAACCTCCTGATCAGAGGCCTTGCTGCTGGACGTAGTTTATCTTTATATATATATATATATATATATATATATATATATATATATATATATATATATATATATATATATATATAATAGATTGCCATTCGTACTCGATTATACCCGCCAAGTATGCCGACTAGCCAATCTCTATTGCAGACGCTCGCTCAGGCACATATGTGTTTGCCCAATACCCACAGAGCCCACCTGTGGTTCATACTGCAACTATACTGAGCAGACCCTAGTTACAGTTTCTGGGGGAGAGCGTGCTATCTAGCGTGATCAACAATCTGAACAAGGCCAGCACGCTCAAGACCTCGGCCACGATGACTTGTGACTTCATGCTAGCACAGCTATCAACGGCCTCCAAGGGTTCCGTCTACCTAGTTTCACTCACAAGGCTTGGGTCAACCTGTGGCATGGTTTTCGGGCACTTTTAAAAGTTCCGCACGCTGGGATCGACCTCGATCCAGTCCGATAACATTAGGAAGTTTCCTTTTGACAAATCGACCCTGGTGAGATTCGAACCCGGGTCTCATATATATATATATATATATATATATATATATATATATATATATAGTAAAAAAAATATTCCGTTGTTATATAATCCAACTGGATCCTAATAATATGAAAATATTAGAAATGATCTGTAAAAAAGAGCTTGATGTATTTTGTTTATACAGAGCAATATAATTAACAATCGAATAAATCCTTTTACCTCATATGTGATATAGTCTATTTCGGCAGACGAAAAAGGTGGTCGTCTGTCTTTTCAAACCCCGGTGTGGACTGAACTTCCTGCGGAAGTAGAATGTAGTAGGAGTTAGCTGTGAGGAAATGTTATTAAAGGCTAAACCTTAACTTTCCGGTAACCCTTAATTTTTCTTTTTATGTGCCGTATCCCTTCAGGACGTAGGCGATCATGACTCTCTATTTTCCCCCATCCCTTGTAGCTCTCAATATGTTTTATCCCTTTGTTACTTCCCCCAGGATAAATTCAGACATCCATTTACTTAAGCCCGCGTTGTCTCTCTTTCCCCCTATTCGACCTGTGAGTATCAGACTCTCCAAGCCCACCTTTCTAATTACGAGTTCCAGAAATTTCAGCTTCCATTGGATTTAAACTACAATGAAACCCCTGTTTGCAACATCAAACATTTGGCTAAGCTGCTAGAGGAGACGAACTTCATTGTCTGAGATGAATGTACCATGTCACACAAGCGAGCATTTGAGACCCTGGACAAAACACTCAAAGACATTAGACACAAATCATGAGAGGTATCACTGTGCTACTCTCTGGTGATTTTAGACAAATATTACCAGTCATTGCAAGAGGAACTCTAGCTGATGAAATCAATGCTAACCTGAAAAAAATTCTTACATCTGGAGCCATGGTCAAAGAGTCAACCTGTAAACAAGCATGAGAGTTGGAATCACAGGTGACATTGAAGCAGGAAGATTTGCTGCTTTGCTGTTACAGCTTGGCAATGGAACCATCAAAATGGACCAAAATGGAAATATTTCAGCTCCAAATGGTTGTTGAATTTCGGTCTCAAGTATCCAAGACTTGATTAACCATATTTATCCAAACATTAAACACCATTTCATGGATTCAAACTGGTTTTGTGAGAGGTCAGCATTAACTGTAAACTTCTCGCAGAAATTCGAAAGGAAAGCATGAAGTACATTTCCATTGACACTGGTTGAACAAGAGCAGGCAGTGAATTATCCAATGTGAACTCATTGAATCCTCCTGGAATGCCATCACACCAGCTGTTGCATGTTTTTGTTCATTCTCGCGTCGTCATGTCTGACGTCATGAGCTGTGACGCGATTTTCGCTTCCGCGTGTCGTATACACTAGTTAGGCGTTTGAAATTTTTCATGAAACAAAATCAGAGTATCATTATTGTTCCGTGTATTGTTTGATATATTGAAAAGTAATTGTCATCTTTGATGATTGCTTATGTAAGCCGAAAGCTTAGATTGGATTTAAACATATATCAATATGGTGATTTCCTTTCGTCCTTCAATGATAATGTTATTAAGCTTATCAGACAATATGAAAGGAACTTACTTAAAATAAACAAACAAAACTTGTCTATATTATTTAATGAAACATGCATCAATGAAAAATTGCTGCCTAAATATACACTATATATATATATATATATATATATTAATTTACTTTCATATAACTATACTTACGTACATGTAAGCAAACACATATTTCTCCCTATCTATGAGCATGAGTGAAACACACATGCGCGTGCGCGTACACACGCATATGATCGCAAAATAGTTTTAATTAGGTCCTGGAGTGCTTTTTCATCCTATTGATCTTGAATCCTGGGGTCTCTTTAACTCATAAATCATTTCGATATTCAGAAACATAATTTGTGGGACTTATATTTTTCTTTTAACAAACGAATATTGTGATGTTTAAAAATATACCGAATGTTTTCCAAGTATAATTTGGTCTCAATATCTGCTCGAAAATAGCATAAGAATGGGAAAATTGATTGTATAGCCATAAACCCATATGTAACATGTGTGTGTGTGTGCGTGCGCGCTCAACAGACACTCACATATTTGTTGAAAGTAATCCCGAAATACATACT